ATGTACTGCGAGGTGGGCGTGGCCACCTTCAGGTAGACCACCTCTCCTGTATTCTTCAGGGCTGACACGGCGTCTTCGTGCAGGACGTCCTCCAGAGACATGTGGTTGACCTGCCGGGGGGCGGAGCCTCACGTTAGACCACAGTCACATCAGTTTAGCGTGTCAGAGAGAACACGTGTGATGTCACGTACCGCCAGGATTTTGTCTCCGATCTGCAGCCGCCCGTCACGGTGTGCCGCCCCGCCCTCGATGATCTTGGTGACGTAGATGCTGTTGTCTCCAGGGACGTGCTGGTTCCCCACGCCGCCCGCTATACTGAAGCCCAGACCTGCACCGGGGGGCGGGGTTAGATTAACAAAACCCAGAACACAGCGAGTGATGAAGATCAAACTGACTCATGGCAAACAACGTTTACAGATTAAAAAGGTGATGAAATATGTTACTGACGTAATCAGTGCGTCACAAAATGTTAAAAATACATAAAGTAATAAATCTCCAGGTGTGACTGGCTCCATATGAGGTGACACGTTCAGGTGTGTTTCTGCTTCCTGTTTGACCAAACTGTATTTACAACAGGTTGATTAAACATTACTACAGTGTCCTGCTGAGAAATCAGAGTATAAAGGGTTATAAAGGTGAATCTCCTGTATGAAGCCTCTGTCATGTCTCTAATTCTTCTGTAGCTGACATAAAACATATTTAAGAACTGTAATGACTCTAACAGTCCAGCAGAGGGCGGCAGAGCAGCTGGAATCACAGTTACATAAGAGCTGCTCTCCTGTCTCACCTTTGGGTCCTTTCATCAGTTTGATCTGTGTGATGCGTTCGCTCGGTGGGCGTCTCCGCAGCACGTACAGCCTGACAACAGGCCCCGCCTCCTTCAGCGCCTCCACAGCGATGGAGTGAGTGACCTCCCGGACGTCCACATCGTTAACGAATACGATGCTGTCGTTCACCCTGGAGATGAAGAGAGAGAGAGAGTCATTGTCACCTCCTCAAACAGCTGTTTGAAGGCTCAGGGGTGATCAGGTTTAGGTCCTTTAAAGGTGAGAGGCTCAGCTTCATGTCCTCAGAGAACACAAGCACAAGCAGTCTGTGTGTGTGTCTGTTTGTGTGTGTGTTTGTGTTTCTGTGTGTGTGCACCTGAGGCGTCCGTCCTGGGCAGCGGCTCCTCC